TGGTGGAAAATGTCACCATTCACTTTAAAACTTTTCCCCTACCCTTTGGAACCTGAAGAGGCAAACTTGGGTCAGTAAAGGAATAAGTGGGGCATTGAAAAAGTTCTCTAAAATGAACATGCTGTTGAGATTTGCCTTCCATCAAATTGGGTATCGAGAGGGTGAATTCAAAATCTGTGACATGCACCTTCCTGCTTCAGTGTTTGAGGCAATTAAATGGCTTGCTAAATGGTCCAAGGTTCAGAAAAGACATGAGGTCTGGAGAAATATCCAGAAATATGACATTTATTCCATTGTTGTATTTTGAAAACACTAGAGAGCTATGAGCTCAAACACCCCACATAACTTCATGAGATCAGAAATATTCATTGCAGAGAACCTAGAAGTGAGTTGGAGCAAGGTGAATTGGAATTTTAACTGTTTTAGCAGGAGTTCTGGTTAAAAAATTGTACTGAATCTGCTTTTAAATGTTAAAAAGTACCTGTCTCAGTACTTGTATCTTTTCAATTCAGTTCAGGATAAATAACAAGTAGTAAGCTGTTCTTCTCTGATATTATTCCTTTTTCAATCATTTTGTTTAATGTATTAGACATTTCTTATTATGTTTCCCTACTAAATGGCAACTTAATATTTGGGAGAAAAAATTATTATAGTGTCTAGTAAAGTATTTCTGCCTGAGAATTATTTTAATTGTTGATAAATTCGTATCAATAATTTTTAATAATTTAAAAAGTATCTTTCTAATTTGATTATTTTTCCAAATCAGTATTTTCCAATTAGTATTTAACCTAAATATTGCTACAGGAGTTTTCAAAAGAATGCTTGTCTCCATGTATCTCTCATCTAAAAATGGGAGAAAATGTAAGATCAACCTGTAGAGTTCTACCTATACCAATACTCAGTATTAGTTTTTTGTTTAAAACATTATCAAAATAACATGCAATAGTTAATAGTAGTTAAAATAACATGATGTTTTACTCAGTTCCAAGCACTGTTCTGAACTCTTTTCTATACATGAACTCATTCAATAATCACAAAAACCGTATATGCTATCAGAACTAATTTCACCCTAATTTTAATAAGTAAACTGAAGCACAGAGCAGTTAAATAACTTGCCCAAGATTGCACAGCTTCTAAGTGTAGGCTTGGATTTCAAATCAGACAATCTGGCTTAAGAACCCCCCACTATCCTATACTGCTTGCCTAAAAGGCGCACAGGAACCAAGAAGGGAGGAAAGGAGGAATGTTTACATAAAGAAAAACAATAGCTGTTTGCCCACCCCAACCCACTTCCACAAGGTAATCTTTGTTTTTTTAATAACTTCAGTTCATGTGGGGGTTACCCACATACTCATTTTCTAGTTGTACGGTGAGTTCTTGATGTATTAACTTTAGGCGTCCTGCTATGGCGATGAGATGTAGCTCAGTGCTTCTCGAACTTTCATGTGATTTGAATCACTGTAGTAAAATGAGGATTCTGGTTTGCTGCACGTCTAAGGGTCTCCTGCGGAGGCTGGTGCCGCAGCCCCTAACCCTCCCTGCGCCCACTCCACGTGTGGGTAATGAGAAGCTTGGCCTTTTCTTCCCCCTGGAATGAATTTTCTACTGATGGTAAGCATCTGCAGAAGAGGAGGGATGATTTTCTGTGCTCCTGGGTCACGTGAGCATTGCCCTGGGAAAATAACCCTGGGCAATATAATGTTGATTCTGGGAATGTTATTTTTATTCCTGCTTCCAGGGGACTGCTGGGAGCGAGGCCATGGCTACAGAAGAGATGTCTAACCTGGTGAACTATATTCAGCCAGTCAAGTTTGAGTCATTTGAAATTTCAAAAAGTAAGTTTTCCAGGAGCAAAAACCCTAATGTGACATATAATAAGTGTATTTTAAACAGAAGGCAATTAGACAAAAAACTGTTACTGTTAATATAACTATTACTTTTTGCTGGTGGAGTCTATAATATATGCCTGGGTTGTCTATGTGATATATATGTTACATATATATTACAATAACCATATGAGAAAGTATCCCATGATGTTTCTCCAAAATACGTACTAGGTCTACAGACGTTGGACAGAATACAGCTAATTGAGAGTTTTACATTTGGTTTTTGTTTGCGACCATTGTGTAAGTGACAGTGATGAAATAAACCCCCTTCCCAGAGAGGAAGCAGCCAGTGACTGGTCAGCCCTGATAGCTGGAAATAGAACCAAATCAACCAATTTATCCACATTCCATTTGTCCAGCCTGTTTTATGTGTCACGGAGAACATGTGACTAGCCTCATATCACTTTGTGTTTTTTCCTTTATCCAAGCACGCATTCATAGTGGATGCAAAGAAAAATATCATCTTTCCTCCATCTAGAGAAAAGAGTCCTTTTATGAAATTGCCCTCTATTGTTGCATAAAATGTAAGATGCTATCAGGTCAAAAGGTCAGCAGCCTCTTATAAAGGATAGATTTACAGATCTCTCAAAATCTAAGCTTCTGCATAACACACAGGTGTAACTGTATAATTTTGCCCAAAGAGTCTTAACTTAGTGGCGTATGGTATCTAAGTTTCTACAATAAAGAATTTAATTTCCAACACAGCTTAAGTATAAAGATTTCAACATTTTCTTTGATGCTACATACTGATGCTGCTGACCACAAGTTGTCCACTTCGAAATGTCCTATTTATATTACTGTGACATGAGGGAAAAGCTTCTAGACAAGTAGCCAAGTTGAGAAGGAGATGATGCATTTAAGTTCTTCAGAACTTGGTAACAAGAGCATCAGCCCAAGATGGACAAACCGGTTCTTTTCTCTTTGTATTTTAGATTATTTTATCACTTTTAAAAAACAATATTCGCACATAGTTTACAAAGCACCTATTAAATTGACTTAATTTCAATTAACAGTCATACTTAAAGTAATTAGTCATATGAAAGGAGACTTTTGATGGTAAAAATAAGAGAAGAAAGAGTTTACAGATTATTGGATTGGGGAAGGTGAGGAGATGGGTAAAGGAGCGGGGAAGGCATAGGGAGAAGAATGAGGCTTTAAGGATGCAAAGCGTATAACACTGATTTTTCCTTGGGAGGAAGACAGAAGCTCCTAGGCTCTTAGCCTCTCCAAACTAAGATAGCTTTGTTTTGCTTCTCTCATCCTAATTAGAAGCTTGGATTTCACTTTCAAAATGCTGCTCTGTGTTCGAGGACATTGAGACCTCTAGTACATTCACCTCCCAACCTTGTTATCTAATCTGAAAATGAGGCCATCAGACTGGGAAATTTCCAAGGATCCTTCTGCTTTGAAGTAACACAATTCTAATGTCACATTAGCCGTTTGAACCAAAGGATATAAGGACATATACAAACTGAGTCCCTGACAGTGCGGGTATAAAAGGGGTGGCCTCCAGTAAACACACCCCCTGGTCTCTTTCGTGAATCCCAGAAATGGCCCCAAGAAGTCAGTCTGAATGGATTTCCAACAAGAGATTTCCTCAGGGCCTGTGCCCTTTTGACCAAAGAGCTGTCATTGCCACACTACCCGAGACGAAAATCAATTTCCCCACCCTAATGCCACCTGGTCCCTGACTTGTGCAACCATAAGCATAAGCGGCCCAGGTGGTAAATACTAGAAGAGACAACGAACAAGACTCAGCTTTTGTAGCAGATAAATAGTAAATAGTTCCCTGAAAAAAATACATATACAAGTTACATTGAAAATTAATCGCTGTAAATTCACTGAACATTTGCCTACTTCTCATATGTTACAATTTATAACTCTGAATTTTATTACTTACTTTTTTATTTGTTTGTCATTAACTCAGAAAGAAACAGAAGTTTTGAAATGTCTTCCTTCGTGGAAACCAAAGGACTTGAGCAGCTGACGAAGTCTCCAGTGGAATTTGTAGAGTATCCTTGATTTGACGAATATCAACTGAATAGGCACAACTGAAGTCACGGGTTATTTAATTTTTGCTTTAAATAAGCAAAAGGATGCATGCAATGGCTTCAGTCTGTCACCTGGGTGTGATAAATAGTTTCAGGTTTCATTGGCACTGCTGGGTAGGGCAGCCTGGCGTACGGAAAAGAGAACTGGACTTGGAGTCAAACATTTCTCACGATCCAGCTCTTTGTCCTTTGTCAGTTTGCTTGACCTTCCTGAACTTTCTCACCTATAAAACATAAATAATGATACCAGCTTTATGGCTCTCTGTTCGGGTTAGGGACAACATATGTAAGATATAATACAAGTATGGCATGTATATATGTAAGCCTAACTTGGCATCTTGCATCTTTGGACATTTAATAAATGGCCAATAAAAAGTAGTTGGGCCCTGACCAGTTTGGCTCAGTGGATAGAGTGTCGGCCTGTGGACTGAAGGGTCCCAGGTTCGATTCCAGTCGGGGTTGTGCAGGAGGCAGCTGATCGGTGTTTCTCTCTCATCGATGTTTCTGACTCTCTGTCCCTCTTCCTTCCTCTCTGTAAAAAAAAAAAAAAAAAAAAAAAAATCGATAAAATATATTTTAAAAAAAAGTAGTTGGGCCTGGCTGGTATGGTTCAGTGGTTGAGTGTCAACCCATGAACCAAGAGGTACCCGGTTGGAAAACTGGTCAGGGCACAGGCCTGGGTTGCAGGTCAGTTCCCAGTAGGGGGTGTGTAGGAGGCAGCCTATCTATGTCTCTCTCATTGGTATTTCTATCTCTCTATCCCTCTCCCTTCCTCTCTAAAATCAATAAAAACATATTTTTAAAAAAATAGCTGGAGCCGAAACCGGTTTGGCTCAGTGGATAGAGCATCGGCCTGCGGACTGAAAGGTCCCGGGTTCGATTCCGGTCAAGGGCATGTACCTGGGTTGCGGGCACATCCCCAGTGGGAGATGTGCAGGAGGCAGCTGGTCGATGTTTCTCTCTCATCGATGTTTCCGACTCTCTATCTCTTTCCCTTCCTCTCTGTAAAAAATCAATAAAATATATTTAAAAAAAAAATAGCTGGAATAATGATATGAGAATATAAATATATATTACTACTAAAGGCTTTGTTGATACTTCTGACAACAAAAACTACTTATTATTATTCATGACTCAAAATAAAATGAAACAGGGCTTTACATATTTTTCATAAAAGTAATATTAAATGTGTCCATGAGCTCAATTTCATGAAGCAAGTCCTAGAACTAAAAAAAAATCACCTTTAAAACTCATCAATAGGAGAGAGAACAGATGTAAAGTCTATATACAGTCACACTATAAAAATCATGATCATTAATGTTCATTAAGTACTATCTATGAGATTGACCTTTTATTATGTCTTACCTCATTTAATCCTTACAATTGCCCTGTGATGTAGGAATTATTCAATCTATTTTATAGATGAGAAAACGAGGCTCAGCAAAGTGAAATAATTTGCCATAGATTATACATAGCCAGTAGCTTTCAGAATTAAGGTGCAAACTTAATGGCCCAACACCCCAGCCCAAGATCAGAAACAACTGACCTTTACCTAACTTGGTAATAGGAATAGTCAATCATGTTTTAAACATGTAGTTATTGTTCAATAACTAAAAGGTTCTCAGGGTGGAAAACTGATGACGGTAGGACCCAAAATACAAAACAAGGTCAAAACCTTCTGTGCTATATATACCTTCTTATCAATCATAGAAAGTACCCCAGTCTTGGCAAATAGCATTCCCAGAGAAGGCTGAGAAAATGAGCAGAAAGCATTTCAAAAATAGCCATGCAGTTCTTTTATCTGCTTCAGCCAAACACAGTATCCTCCTCTCACATGATCTGATGCCCTTGAGCTTCCTCATGTGTTTTTAATCAGTAGGCCTATCCTTAATAATCTCTACAAAATCATGTTGACCTTGACTCAGCCATGTTTTCTACCTATTAGTTTTCACCTACAAGGGGCTGCAAAGGTAATGCTACATTTATATTATAAACACTTATTCTGTTTGTTCAGCAAGGTTTTTACATACTTTGCCCCCTAGCCCAATGAGATCATCCATATTTATTTCATTTCCGCAGTGGAGAAAGATGGAAGGTGGCTTCTCAGGTGATATTCTTGGCTAATTATTTTTATAATTGTATTCACTACTTAACATGATGGTCCAGATATAACAAAATGCAGCTTAGTAGGATATATCCAAAAGGAACTCGTGTAGATTCATCCAACTATATGCCTCAGCTCTTCTGGAATGCAGGCTGTCAAATGGTTGCCCTTAATTTCCAAACAGTGGGTAAGTAGCACAGTTTCTGCTCATTTCCATTGTTATAAAGCCATATTTCCAAGGACCCAAAACCCATTTTGAAAGGATAAAAAATTGCCAGACTTGACTGAAACTAGTAAAAGTAAATTTTAATAAAGGAAATACCAATGTAAAAAAAGTAAATTTTGAAAATTGAGAAATTGTCTTCAATAGTTTATAAATGAGTGTTTCTTTCTACTGGTCTTGCATTATTTTCAAACAAAAACCTTTATACTTTTTAAAGTAATATGTATTTATTATAGAAAAAGTTGGAAAATCCAAAGATGTCTAATGAAAAAATAAAACTCAGGAATGCTACCACTCAGAGATTCAAAACTCAACTTTATTATTTGTTATCTATAAGGTTTTTTGACTATGTATGTATATGCTTTTTCACTTAATTCCACATATATTTAAATGTTATACAGAAACATGAATTTTAATATCTGTATATTAAGCACATTTCACAATTCACTAAAACCCATTTCCTATCACTGAACACTAGAGAATTTTTTCTACTATAAATAATGCTCTGAGAATAGTCTTGATATAAATTTTCAAGTCTATCTACTGATGTTCTTTTGGCAAAGTTCCTAAAACCAAATTATTCTGTCAAAAGATGTGAGGTTTTAAGAAACTTTGTACCAAAGTTTTTGCCAAACTTTTCATCAAAAAATGTTACCCCAGAATTTTTCTCCACCAGCAACGTATGGCGGGAAGTGTTCCTGCTCATCTGAGTTCTTGGTTAAGTGTTATCCTTAAACAATAATAATACAATTTGAGACAAAATATTGTCATTTCATTATTGTTTTAATTTCATTTTTTGATTATTATTGAGGTTGAACATTTAAATATGTGGGTTTAAGACTATTTATATTTCTGCTTTTATGAATCGCCTATTCAGGCCTATTGTCACTTACAGTGCTTTTTATATAAAGGGCATGTTGTCTTATTTTGTGAAATAGATGAGATCAGATTTTTAATGGTGTGTTTTTTTTATGGAGTCTTGGATTACTTTAATGATTGCAGCTTCCCCTGGATCAGATTCATATTTACTTTCATTTCTCTCATATTTTAATATTTCTAATTTTACCCTTTCATCTATCCAAAAATTAATTTTTATATATAACCTCAGTAAGATATCAATCCTTTTTTATACTGACCTGAAATTACAGCTTAATAGGTATACCCTTTTCTGTTATTGTTAACTTAGATCCATTTTTTTCTATTTATATTTTTCTCCATTAATAAGTTGGTCTGCTTTCTGCAACCAATAACACACTGTTATTATTGTAGTGTTTAATAAATGCCTTAATACCTGGAAATGGAAATTCTCCTTCCTGGCTATTTTCAGTTATTTTCTTGCTATTGCCAGTAGGATTTCTGGTTTCCAATAAATTCAGTTTAATTATTATCATGTTTCTTTCCCCCCGCCCCTGGGGGAAAAAAGAGGTTTTTATTAAAATCACATTAACTTTACATTAGGTTAATTGTTATTATGTATTCCTCTGCCCCACTGGAAAAAAATGAGATTTATATTAAATCACATAAAATTTATAAATTCATCTGAAGAATGTATCCTTAATTTTTTTATCACTGAAAGAATGTCTTTCTCTTCAATTTAAAAATTATATTAAGTCCCTCAGCAGAATCACTTGTCTTTATTAGAGGTCTAGTTTCTTTAGATGAAATCTCTTTTTTGACATTATATTTTTAACAGATTGTTTCTAGAATTTATATATTTCCGTAATAAGTAAATTTAGTTTATAAATGATAATCTTCCTAAACTCTTATAATTTCCCTTTTTGCCAATAGATTCTATTGGGTTTTTCAGATACACAATCACAATAATTTAATCACATCTGCTTTTCCCCCTTTCTTAGGATTTGGACTAATTGTTCTAGAATAATATTAAATAGCAGTGGTGTGCATCTTTCTCTTCACCCTGACACTATTGGCAATTTCACCATTGTGATACCATTGAGTAGATGTTGGCTGTGACTTTAAGACAGATATTCTTTCACACATTAAAGGAATATACACTTGTTCTAATGATCAGCAGTATATTCGGAATTTATGTTAAATATTATTAAATATCACAGACTTCTATGCTATGGGATGATTGTGTTCATTTCTTCTTTTGTGAGAAAATGTGATAAATTATATTAATAGATCTCCTAATATATAATTATCCTTGTGCTCCTGTGATAAATTCTACTTATTTTGGGGGTATTATTTCTTAAAGCATATGATTTGCTAATATAATTTTTAGGCTTTTCGAGTTAATTTTTTCAAGTATGCTAAGTCAATCATTTTCATTTTTTTTTTAACTTTGTCCAATTTTAGTATCACAATTATACTAGCTTAATAACATGAGAGGTAAAATTTCACTTATTTTCCCTGATCTAAAAGTTCTTTTTTTCATGGAACTATGAAATAAGTCTACCATCACCTTTTCTATTGTCCAGCCCAAAAGAGATGAGTTTCAGCTCAGATAATCTGGGATAAATGACAGCTTCTCAGATTTCTTAGGACTTTAAAATGTGTTGTTGTTTTTAACCCCAGTAATTGCAATTAGTGTGGACATTCATTTCATACAGAGTGTTAGGGAAACTTTGAGCAGTAATTTTTGTCCATTAGAAACAGGTCAACATGCAATTCAATATTGGTGGTAAGTAATCAAAGAAATGCAAAATTTAAAAGGAAACTTTTTCCTATAAATTAAAAAAGAAAAATTAGAGCAGCCGCTGTTGGTGAGGTGTGGGGAGGTCCTTCCTTAGAAACAGGGATTAGAGGTTTAAAGTGGTTTAAGTTTTCCGAAGGGTATTTTAGCAAGATTTACCTAAAATCTTTCCCAAAGTGCATATCTTTTGATCCAGAAATTTCACTCCTAAGAATACTGTTAATCATATCCTCAAAGAGTTCACCACTATGATGTTCATCAAAACATTATATGTAATGGTGACAATTTAGAAGAGACTCATAAATGTGCCTTTAAAGGGGCCTGGATGAATACATTTATTCAAATATATCTATTCAACAGAATTTTGTATAGCTGTTAAAATTAAAGCAGGCAAATATTTAATGGAATAGACATACTGCATATTTAAAATATACAGGGTATCCTCAAAAATGTGTACACATTATAAAGGCAGTGTTTAGAGAAATTATTTCATTTTCAAAATGTAATATAATCTACGGCTATCAGCTATTAAAGTGTGTATACATTTTTGGGACACTCTGTATTTGAAGTAGAAAAACAAAATATACACCAATCTGTTGTTAGTAGCTTATCTCTGGATTTGGAGATTTTAGCTCAATTTTTTTTTGTATGTGTTTCCTACATTTCTACAATGAATACATATTTCTTTTTAAAAGGGGAAAAAAAGTGGACCATAATACAATCTTACTTTCTTTCTACAAAGATAATAGAGTCACAGTAAGGTTTGTGTCTTTGGTATGCAGACCTGGCTATGCAGATCAATATGGGGATGTATGAATACAATGGGAAGAGTGGCTACAGATTAAAGCCAGAGTTTATGAGGCGACCTGACAAGCATTTTGATCCATTCACCGAAGGCATCGTAGATGGGATAGTAGCCAACACTTTGTCTGTTAAGGTATGTACGTCTCTTTTATAAAATTGTCCCCATCAAAAGTCTTGGACATTACCTATTTTGTGTAAAAATGTAGTTGAGTCATTAAAAGTGTAGTTGCTAGCACAGTCTCCACTTCCTTCAGACATTTTTTTTTAAGGCCTGAATCCGAATTAGAAATTCTGAGACACTAAGTGCAGGAAATAAAGGGACTTGGCTGCACATTCAACAGGACAAAAATTGGACCCTTAGTCAACAAAACAAGTTGGTGAGACACACCATGGCCAACCTTTCTTTTGGTGTAAATGTCCCACAGTAAAATTTACATAAAAATTACTGGAGAAATCTTCTGTTTTTTTCTAGAGAAATATCCATACTGAGAAAAATCAGAGAAAAAAAAGTATTCCCAATAAATTGTCAAAATCGAATAAAAGCTCTGAACTCACCATAGCATGGATTTAAAAATCTATCAGAGTATTCAGGGATTTAAAACACATACCAAATTTAAAAATTGCTTTATTAAATATTTATCTGACCCTAACAATGAATTTCAAATGATTGCCACAATCTTTGAAATTGATGTTTCAGTAAATATACCATTTTTTTCTAGCTGTGAGAATTATTCCATGAATGGCAAATCATTTTTATAAAGAACTTTTTACATGAATTCTATAAGCTCTGGGTTATTTTAGCTAAATTTCATTTTACATTTTAAAGTCTTATTTTTTTTCCTCTTTAACTAGATGACTGTTAACTAAGAAACATTTTTTATTGGATATAAATTCAATTTTCAGATTGATCCAAAACCAAATGCATATGAAAAACTATAATTAAAAAGGCTCTATAACAGTTTCACTAATTTATATC